GGGTTAACTGAAAAAGTAAAGGGTGAAAACCTCCTTTGGGGCAAGGGGAATAGTCTTAAGCACAAGTAAAATTTTGTAGATGGATAACAATGTTTTTCAGTTTCCTCTTTCCTCTGTCATTGACTCTCGTCCTGTTGAACGTCAAGGCGGCTATTTCAGTCTAGCTTCGCAATGAAGAATAGGGACAACCTATATGATTCCATAAGCTATTCAGGAGAGGCTATTTCAGAGTTCTTTGTCAGCCATCTATTTCTAGTCTATAGCACGTTTGGCAGTTGTGCTGATTGCTAAGGCTACAAAGAATAGCCTGCCAGATATTTTGAGCAGGGAGGGGATACCCCTCTGGTTGAGACACCCTTGGCTGCAAGGTGAGGGAGGCTTACTAGATTTTTGCCTAGAAGATTAGGTCCTGGGCCCAGTTTGAAGCTTATCAAAGACTTCAGTGAGGCTTTAATAAACCCCTAGCTCTGTTAATGACCTGTAGATGTGTGTGCCACAGTTTTAACATGCTCTTGTTGATTGATTTACCATTTGCAGAGGCTGGAGGAGTAGTAGAGAAAGGGTGGTGTTTATGAACTCGCTCCAGAAGAAAAGCACATTTTCTCTTACTAAAACAGCCATACTCCAGCTGAGGTAGTGAAGGAGATTTAAAGATGAAATTTGTTTTAGCACAAAGGTGATCTCCGGATTATGAAATCTGAATCTAAACCAGTCCCCTGTTCTAACAGTCAGTTTTCTGTGCTGTGTTCCCATCTATACACCAAATTCCTTTTCCAAATACTTAGTCTGGTTTTGAGCACTGTCTGCTTCCTTACAGCAGGAGAGTACAGGTAGTCTTGAGTAGTTAAAGAACCTTTCTCCTAAGAGGTTCCTCGAATAGACCATATGTTTTTGTGACTGCTGGGGATCAGAACCTGTAACAAAAATGCATGAAATAAGTATATCATTTTTTTCTACACATCTTCAAGTGCCATCATTTATTGATATATTGTTTATATAAATAAAAGAGAGATAACTTTGTAAGGCTGAACATCCCAAAGGAAGTGTTGAAGCATCTAAGCTTGAATCACTTAAAGCTTGCCTTGACAAAGCCCTAGAAAATAAGAATACTCCTTGCACTTAGGATGATGGGATATGTGTTCCACCTCCCCAAATCTCAGTTTTCAGCCTATTAGCTTTTTGCTGAACTTTTTGCTGCAGCATTCATGGAGAAGTGAGACCAATCTGTAGGTAGTGAGGAAAATTCTTTCCCCTCCCCCTAAACTTTGCCTGCGTAGTCTTTTACAGTGAAAGTGCATAAGAAAGATCTTTGCTTGTGCTGCTCTCCTGTAAGGAGCTTGAGTCACTCACTTGTGTCAAAGGCTCCAGAAAACAGAAAAGCTTCCCAAGAAATAAAGAATAAGCAACTGAAACCAAACAGTGATATTGGGCTCTCTCTTACTACTTCCCCCAACCTCTCAAGGAACTTCTGGACTCTGGTGCCGTATCTTACATTAAATCTATCTAAGAGTCCTGGACCTGGCATGTAGTGATTGCTTCCTGTAACAACATTATGCTGTACCTTGGAGACCTGAGAAAGTGCTTGGGAGAATTGATTTGAAAACTCTGTCATGTGATTAGTACAGTGAACAGCAGCCTCTGTGCTCCTGAACAGATACTGTAAACCAAGGAGAAGGAAATGCAGCTTATAGGAACGCTTGAAGGTGTCAGAGCCAAACCTGTATTGCATCGCTGGTGTATTTCTTTCCATTTAGGACTCAGGCTCTGTGGTAAGCAGTGATTTAGCTTAGCATTGACACCCTTTCCACAGCCCCCCAAAACACACTCATATTTCTTTACCCCTGTTTCCCAGCTGTGAGTTCCTCCTGGTTGCCTTGGATTGGATTGAGAAACTTCCCTGAGTCCGTTTAACTCACTAACCAGGCAGAAACCACTTTGGCAAAAATAAATTCATTTACTAGTGATGGAGAGAAGGAAGGATTTTTTTTTTCCCCCTTTTAAATCAGATTAGCGTATGTAATATCAGCTCACAGAATTAACGTTCATAGATGACGCAGCCAGGAACTGGAGTAGAAGGAGAAACACAGGAAGGTAGTGAGGAGTTGTGTTCATTTAGTTGCTTTTGAAACCAGACTCAGGTTGCTGTGTTTGGGCTTGTGCTGGGCCTGTGCTCTTGGGCTTTTGTTTATCTAACTGGGTCCAGAACTGCCTCTTTCCTTTGCTTTCTGAAACTATATGGGTGTGAGCTCTCCATTATGTGGCACAGGAAAACGGCTTGCAGTTCAGCTCCTTAAAAGCAGTATTGATTGTCCTTTGGACTCTCTAGGCGGTGCTTTTCATGAGGTCCTGGGGATATTCTAGGTGACCGCCTGTGTACCAAGGTGTTTGCTGTGCACTCCCGCCAGCGCACAGACCTTACCACGCTTCTGAAACCAAACTGCATTTTTTGTTTAGGCAGCACAGGAACATACTGAGCAAGACAAAAATAAGAATTTCTGTACATATTTTGCTCCTCCTCCTTTTTGACTCTTACCCCTCTGCTATAAATGCCTCCCTGTCTGTTTCTATCCTTCCTAAGCCTCTTCCGTTCTAAGAAGTTTTCTAAAAGTATAAGTGGTTTGCAGTGTGGGGGTGTTTGGTGTGTGTTTTGTGGGTGTTTTTTAAACAGGCTTTCCATTTTTCAACTCTCTCTTCATGTGACGTGGGTAGATTTTACCCACTCAGCCATGCCTGCTGCTTGCACCAGATCTGTTCCTGGTGGTTTACTTGTATAGAGTTTAAAAGACTCAAAGCATGCCATGGTACAACTACCCAGAATTCATAAACCGAACACAGATTCCCCAAAGAATTGCACCATAACGTTTTCTTTCTTCTTTCCTAGCAGATTGTAGAGTAAAAAGGAATCTATATAGTTACGACATTAAGCCAGATTTAAAATAGAAAACCTCTTACAGTAAACTAAAACTATTTTTGTCTTGTGATGATTCAAAAGATGAGTATTATCACTGGTCTAAAATCACTTAGCTAATGAAATAGAGAAGTGACTTTTTCAAAAAGGAGACTAACAGGAATTGCTGTTCCTGATGCTTTTGTTCTGAAAACTGCTCACTGGCTTTTTTGTGTATCAGATAAAGTGGGCTGTAAATAAACAAACTGGCTTTTTTTTTTTTTTTTTGAGAAGGAAGCAAAATATCTAAAAGAGGTAAAAGGATTTCTTTTTTTCCCCTGAATTTACCAAAGATGCAGAATTTCAAACCTGAGGAATAGCCATAATTCAGGCAATGGCAGTGCAAGCCTTGACAAAACAGTACATTATGTTATTGCTGAATAATTTTAATTCATGTCTTCAAAGTATAATAACAGTAAACATAGTATTTGGCAGATTTAATAGATTAATACTTGACTTCCTTGATGATAAAAAGGTATCTTGTTCTGAACAAGTTATAATTACTCTTCCTTCACTTTAAAAGCACACAGAGGAATGGAATTTTAAGTGAGGGAAAAAAACAGGGACTTTGACTTCCATTTGCACCTTTGAACCTTACTGATTGGCTATAACATGTGCAAATAGTCAAAAACAAAACAAAACAACCCCCCCCCCACCATAACATACTGAGTGAAGCAACTGGCTATAGTTCTTCTTTAGAGTAGTTTGCAAAGATTAGGAAGTATGAGAATGAACTGAACTTGGGTTTTAACTAGGTTTGTAAAAAACCTAGCTAGCTTTTGTTAGAACTTGTTTAGCCTAAGTGTAAGTTGGTTGCCAGGGATGTCTTTGATTTTTTTTTTTTTCTTTTTTTACCTGTAGGTAAGGTCTGTTGGACCACTGATTTATTACACAGTTTTTGTGATGGGAGGGAAGCAGGGACATAGCCACCCAGGAGAAGGAAACAGAGCTTGAGATGTGGTTTTATGTATTCATTTCTAGAGCAGTCTCAACCTCACTTTTTATTCCCTTCATGTTTCAAATCAGCAGTGCCAGGCTGATGGTGAAACAGCCTAAGAGTATATTTATGATGGCCGCTGGGATTTTAGGTATGATGCGGAGTCAATTCCGGGTGAATTTAAATATGTTATCAGTCATTCTACCCAAGTTTTTCTGACTAGGTTAATGCAGTGTTGGGAAATAATAATGCAAATGTCATGGAGCCGTAATTTAGATAGGGCCCAATACTTTAATTAATGTGAATGGAGAAGCAGCTAGCAGTAAGTGGAGTAAAGAGAATTGTGGTAATTTGCCTGGGGAGTCCCAGTGGCTGGGCTTCAGCTCTTCCCCTTCCTAGTTTCCTCCGTACTCCCCCCTCGCCCCACCTTCCCCAGTTGAGATGGAGAAGCCTCAGCTTGGTGTGGTTTTGAAATGTGAAACCTCTTGGGCTGTATTTTATGAAAAACATAAGTTATTAAGCAGCATAGAAAATAATAATGTGGGATTTGAAAGCAAACATTAATCACAATAACCACATATATTGTTGCTTTTAACAAATTCAGTAATCATGACTTTTTTTTTTTTTTTTAAAATGCAGTAGCAACCACAGTGGACAATTACAGATCCAATATAGAAGGCAGGAGGTGTTTAAAAAAGCTTGTTGTGGGGGAGAGCAGAAGGTGTGTGGTGGTGGTGGTATAGGTTGTTGGGGTTTTTTCTTTTTTTTTTTAGTCTCCCTTCCACATATGATCATTATGAATGGGAACAAGCATCAAAAATATTGAGGAATGGAGAGAGTCAGAGAGAGACAGAGAAATAGATGTCTCAGGTAGAATGACAATACAAAACCAGGCCATAACTTGTGTGATGAATGGTTCGTTCTGCACAGCCATGGCACCTCTGGAAGAGGCACACATGCAGTTGTGTGAGCTCCTCTGTTAAGGCTTTCCTGTTGCACCTCAATAACTGTCTGTCTTGCCATCCCATGCAATGAATGCTTTCTTTTGAGAACTGGTGTAGGCACTGATGCCTTCAACACTGCATGTAAATAAAATTCAGACCGTGTGTTTCACAGGTGGTTTTGCTGAATTCTCCAGTTCTTTCCCTGGTCTCTGTGAAGGAAAATCCACACTCGTCCCTACTTGCATTTCTCAGCCCTGCCTACCTGTCTCCAACATTGGGCCAACCCGAATTCTGCCTCATCTCTATCTTGGGTGTCAGCGAGATGTCCTTAACAAGGTGAGTGTTCTGGACATTATGTTGTTTACATGGATGAGCACATAATCTCTATGTGTCTTTATCTCAGGGCATCTATCATATTGCGTCATTACAGCTGTAAAACATCTGAAATAGATTCTGGATGACAGCTTTTCATGGTTTATGCTCAGTCAGCTATGTGAGAACTAATGATATACAGTCCGTATAATTAATCTACCTGTCATGTAATCTGAAACTTGGTCTCCTCTCACCTTGGTCTTGGAGAAGATGATATGACACCTTCCTCAGTAACCTACAAATCAAGACAGACTATTAAATCTGCCATTACAGCAGGTCAGGTTTACTTGAATATACTTCCAACTGGTTTGTTTTGGCAAGTGTTAGAAGTTAACACAACTATGTAACTATTAGGTTACTGTGGGAGAAAGAAAGGTTGTCCCTAAATACCATCAATTCTATGATGGAGGACTACTGCAACAAATATTTGTTTAGCTAATAAAATGTTCAGATATGGGCAATCAGTTGGGTCCTTTAAAATGAGCCTTTTTGGTAGCACTGTACTCAAAACATTTGCCGTTTCTGAATATGTGTGCATTTAATAATTTCTGTTCCTAAAGAGTAGCCCTGGACATTTGTGGTATACGTAAAATAGCGAGCAAAGCCTTCAAGTGTAGCACTTGCAGGATGCTGGACTCTCAGATATCTAAGAGTCCATGTCAAATTGCTGTATTCTTATGTGCTTCCACAGGTGTTTACTTCCATGAGGACACCAAGTCTTATATTGCTTAGAATCTGCATCTTGGGTCACTTCTCAAAGGATTTTTTTTTTTTTTTGTCACTTCTACTGCATGTGCCCTCTTGCCTCCTATTATTATTTGGGAGTGGCATTTATTAGTTGAGTTTCCAACAGCTTTCATATGCTGGTATTTAAATATATAGATTGCGGCAGGGTGTGAGGGGGCACAGAATTCTTCTCCCTAAAATGTTGCCTTAATTGTGAGAGAAGTGTGTGTGTTTTTAATCCACATATAAAGCTTAAGATAAGTTCCTGTGTTAACAGACCTGCAGTTGCATCAAATTCATATTCTTTAGCATAATATTTTTTCATACGTTTCTTCTACTTTTTCATTCCATTCCAGCCTGGTCCTTAATAAGCTATTTCTGGATTTCTCACTATTGTTTTAACAGCATCTTTGATACACAAGCAATCTGCTAGATGGTGTTAATATGGAGGATAGTCAGTAGTCCTTGTATTTATTTATTACATCCTTTAAAATCTTCTGCATCTTTGTTGCCAGTGAACAAGTCAGAAACTTAGGCTTGATTCATTTATAATGGATATCAGAATGGCTTATTCTTACCACAAAAGCACTTTATGGTTCCAAGAGAAAAAAACCCAGGAAATAAGTAAAAAATCCTTGTGGTAAATGGTAGAATATCAGAAAGATGCTTTTATGCTGTTTGTTTTAATATGTGAATGGTAAGTGCTATCCTCAGTCACAAGAGGCAGGGGGATCCCTTACTCTCTTCCAGAGCCAGGGCAATATCACTTCATTTGGGATGCGGCTGGAGCTCCACACTGGTGCTGTCTATCTGTTGTGGCTCCTAAATAGTGAATAGTCCCAAAGGGATGAAAGAGGCTATTCACCTTACTTGCAGTAAATTGATGCCTATGAATGGATGTTATGCACAAGCACAGTAAGGAGGAGAATCCAAGTGGTAGCTGTGGTGAGGAATTTCATTATAGAGCTGGAGGAGTCTGTAACCACAACTGCTACTGGGTAAGCCCTGAGTGTCTACAGGAAGAGTTTCTAACTGGTGATGTCTCTCTGGCCTACTAGTTTATAATCTTGATATCATTTCAGCATGTTTCTGTCACAGAGCAGGAAGCCCTGCAGATGCAGATAATTCAGAATTAATGTAGGAGTCTCAGGTTCTGTACTTCCTCATGTATTCTGAGGAGTTACAGTGAAGGATTACTGTCTCCCCTATTTTCCTTTGGAGAACCACAAAACCAATAGAATACAATCCACAGAAAATTTAATCAATTCTTATCTCCTGGTGTTATCCTCTACAGTCAAACTTTGGAAATTCTGCCGTAGATTAGTAAAGGACTCTAATTGGTTTCTTAACCATTTTAAGACAAATATCCGTTTTATGATTTCAGATCTACTTGTCACTCATACCTTTTTCTTCTTACTGTGACCCAATAGCAGACAATTCCCTATTCTGTTACTTGTTCACTGCCCCGAGATAGACCTTCATGTCTCAGTAACTTTGTGATCCCTTCAGTTTTGCTGATTGCCTATGGAAAGTCTGAAATGGCTTCCATTGTAAGTATTGGTACCTTTATTAGCTTTAAAGAAGCTGTGGAAACATATGAAGATTTCTGCCTCTTAGAAACCACTTGATGTTTTGGCAACTCCCAATTTCCTGGTATTAAACAGTTTCTTGATTCATCTCAGAGTTAGCTATAACTAGAGGTCAGAAAGCCAAAAATTCTGAGGGCAGAGAGACTACCAGACAACTCGCTATTTCTATTGCTCTCCCTTACGCACACTGTGCTTCTTGGGAAGCCTTGATCCTATGTGAGGGTATTAGGGAAAGCAAGGAGGATGTCCCTCGCTACTTTGAGTACCAGTACATAGTAATAAAAAAGTTGAGAAGTGCAGAATATTCAAGAGGGTGAGAAACAAAAATGTGTGAGAAGTAGCAGGGGCTCTGTCTGTTACAGCGGTCAAGAAGACAGTAAGTGGTTAAGTTTGTGTGCTCTGGTTTAATGGCCTTGCTGCTTTGTCCATTACTGGAGATGACTTCTGTTAAGATTAGAATGTGCTTTTTGTTCAAGTTTGGATTTTTTTTAATAACTTACTGGAATTTTTCATAAAAGATACTGCAAACTATAAAAGGTAGTTATGTATGTTGACCTTATGTTTTGCCCTCACATGCTTTCTATGGGTTTCCCTTATTTTTCCTATTGATTTATCTAAAAGTTAAACGTCTCAAAAATATCCTGCGAAAAGAAGTATTCATCTGTAATACAGTTCAACCCAGCTATTCAAAGATGTGGATTTTCAGCATGGTTTATGAAGATGAGCTAATCTTTCAGGATCTCTATCGACTCATCTCCGAGTGCATGAGCAGTGAGGGGAAATAAAATATTTGTCTTGTTGCAGAAAGGTCTGTATTCATGACCTTTCAAGAATATTAATGCTATTTGCCATTTATACCTTTGCTGATAACATCTAATTTATGAAACACATGCAAACATGAATGTTCAGTTCGATTTCTCTAGCAAAACTGTGATTACTTCAAAAAAGTCTTAAGAGATGCTTTATATTTTTGCTTTATACATTTCTTTAAGTACTTGAACTTGAAATGTTTATAATATTTTTTTCAGTGTTTAGATACTAAAAGCCTCAGGAAAGTTCTGTCCTGTTTTGTTTTCCATGTGTTCTTTAATAATCTGGTGATCAGTAATGCTGCTTTACCTGAAGGCGCGTATTTGCAGAATATGGACCTTTTGCACCATTACCAGTTTTATTTTACTCTGTTTGGCTAACAGAAGAGTTGGTTGCACTTTTGGGGTCTTAACGTAATATTGTGCTGGTTACCAATAAAAATACCATTGTAAGAGGGTGCTTATTTTGACAGAAGATCTGTGATCTTCAGATCTGTGAAAGGAAGATAAACTAAATTCTAACCTATATGGGAGTGACAGTGTCCTTTCTGAAAGACAGCATAACAAAAAAATCTCAGTGTGGTCGTTATGGGCCTGAGTGACTCTCCTACTTGTTTCTCACATTTTGCACCAGCATTTGAACTGTAAAACTTTCTGCTTTGCTACTTAACTACTCTTTTTTTTTTTTTTTCCCAGACCTGGATTTTATTTCCTGGAAAAAAATAATGTTTTAGGGTGTCATTAATTTTAAGATTAAACAAGTCATAAAATGTAAATAAGCTGACAAAAGAGCATTTACCTTCTTTTCACAAAGTTGTTAGTATTAGGATTTCTGGATCTTCCTTCCATCATAATTCACTTCTTCCTCTTGGGTGCTTTACAATGAAGTCACTGTTATGGTTATTATATTAGTGTGCTGCACAGGGAATGATTGATGCCTTAGAAGAGAAGGAATCATAACTTCTTTCTTTAGCCTCAGTCTCAAAGACAAGCACTAACACATTTTTGGGTGTTTTTTTGGCTCAGAGATTTCAGACTTGGCGTCTGCAACCTTCCAATTCCCATTTGGACAATCAGTTCCACATCAAAAATCTTACATAACTGTGGAACTGTGATGGCTGGACTATGCAGCCCACCAGCACTTATGCTCAGAAAAAAAAAAGGCTTTTCTATTCTTGTAAATTCTTAGCTAATGCATGCTATAGCCTGAACAAACATGCGTCGTGGAGCTCCATTCGTTAGCCATACCTGCGTTGCCTCTCTCATAGCGAATAATGGAGTTAGTGCGGCTTTTATACCTAATATTGTTCATGATTCTGCACGTACCTGCTATTTAAGTTGTTCTTCGCTTACCTTTAAGACCATAAGGGGTGACAATAGGTGAGCTGGTTTGGGAGGGAGTGTTTTTTCAGCTTACTGATCTAAAGTAAGTATTTATTTTACAGAAGTTAACGTTGAACAGTTTGAATCCTAGAACCGAAAAAGCTGTGTAGGCCAGGACAGGGAGGCTGGATGTTGGGGACTGGTGATTTCCTTTGCACTAGTCGGATACCATGGGTGTCTAGCAATAGCTAGTCTCATGTGCCAAGAACCCCGTTCCCAATACATGTCCCTCCCTGGATAGTCCCAAATACTCCCCTACTTCCTTACAGCACTTTAATCATGAAAAATATTTTAATGCCTTGAGTATTTGAAAGGCCCAGTTGACTTGCATAGCTCAGTCTCTTTGCTTGTTCCCGTGACAACATCTGAGATGCAGGAGAATTAAAGACTGAAAACTAAAATCTAGACAACTAGATCTTGAATCAGAAAGCAGAATTTTGGTAAAACTGCAGTCATTACTCAGTGCTCTGTATTTAAAAAAATATATATATAAAAATAAATATATGAAACAAATTTAAGGTCTTCAGCCCTCATCAGCTGTTTCTCTCAATATTTTGAGTGAGCTTTTCACATTGTCCTAGAAACAAGGAAGCTCCAGATACCTTAGGAGGTGACTGTGTGATGGGAACAGGAGTCTTCTCCCTGGCCCAGGCATGGACTCATATACTCAAAAGAAAGAGCTGGAGAGAATTCTGACTGCACCACTTATTTTGTTTATTTTAACTAACTTCGTACACCTGCACTAGATGTTTTTTCTTGTTGCATTGGCAGTGCAGGAGAATCAGTTTCATTTCATATTTTTCACTCATACCTGGGATGGGGTAACCTGAACCTTAAGCATGAGATCCAGAAAACACATGTTATTCAGGTCAGCAAGCTACCTATGGGAGGTGCTTGGGTATGTTGTCACTTTGCTAGGTAAGGATTTAAATCGGGGGGGGACTCTCTCTTGGACACAATGATTCATAGTACCAGAAGGTAATCTACCATTACTTCTCTTGTTAGCTTTTTTCTACACTCTGCAGTCTATATGTTATTTGGACCCATTGGCTATCTCATTGGTTGAAGAATCAAAAGCTTAGGAGTTATCTTTTTAAAAAAAGAATGCCTTTAAAACAGCTAGAGCAATGGAAATACGAATTCTAGTTTAGTTCATAGTTTCTTGTGCTAAGGTGTCATTTGACTTCTGTAGTCTTAACCTTTATCTCCTCCATAGGAGCTGATGCAGCAGAATGATATTGGCTATGTACTAAACGCTAGCAATACTTGTCCAAAGCCTGATTTTATTCCTGAGTCCCATTTCCTGAGAGTGCCTGTGAATGACAGCTTTTGTGAGAAAATTTTGCCTTGGTTGGATAAATCAGTGGATTTTATAGGTAAGAAGAAAAATTAGAGTCTCTAACAGTTTCTAACTTCTCTTTTATGTGTTTGTTTTCTGTTTTGGCTGGAGGAGCCCTGAATGCTTTTTTAGGTGGTATGAAAATACCATAAGGGTCTAAGTATATGATCAGCATCACTTTATAAGAAGCAAAATAACAGGAGGATTCTGTCGCTGTGTGATCCAGCACTTATGGAACAAAGACACTTTTCAAGAGCCCCAACTGCACTTTCTGGCAGCCTGGGGAGCTGACTGACACTCCTGCATAGATTGCATTAGAAAACTATACATACACAAATTCTGTCCTTAGCTTTGAGCAGTGAGTGACCAAACAGATGAACTGGCTAAGTTGTTTCTTGCTTTATCTGCAAGTTAAAGCAAGTATTCCTGATGGAGCAATCACCTTTCCCAGACTTCTGTATATGGTTGCTTACATGCATGTCAAAGTAGGTGCAGTATGCTGCAACTGCAATGTTTCCTATGGGTAGTCACATGCTTCTTTATTAAGTGCAGTGAAAGAGAAAATAAGTGTATTTTGTTTAAAGCTTCCATGAGATCTGTAATTAGCAGTTAATGTGGAAGTTTTAACAACTTTAAAAACAGTATTTTCTTTGCAAATTCTTTATCATGCTATAATGCTGCTGAGACTGACACTTGCCAACTTCTTTGCTATGCAGAAAAAGCAAAAGCATCCAATGGACGTGTGTTAGTGCACTGTTTGGCTGGAATATCTCGCTCTGCCACAATTGCTATTGCATATATCATGAAGAGAATGGATATGTCCTTAGATGAAGCTTACAGGTAAGGACAAAATTTCCATTCTCCCAAGACATTAATTCTTCTGCCTGTCAGCTTGCTTTTAAGGTGAATGATGAACAATTATATGACCAAGGGAAGCAGACGCGTTATTTTTATCCTGTAGTCCATTGGCTTCCAGGTAGTCTTGCTGTAAACATAGGCTTCCTCCATAAACAAATTAGTGGTTTTATACAGACATCACGCACCTAATACTAATTCTCCACGGGGAGAATGCACCGGTCTTTGCTCTGAGTAGGCAAGTATATGGAATTTAACTACAGTAATTGCTTTAAAAATACATACAAATATATACACATATACATACAAGTGTGTGTATGTGTGTCTGTAATGCATATATACACACATATACATACAAATGTGTGTATGTTTATATCTATGTATCTATCTATAGCACACAAGAATATCTTGCAAGCCCAAGAGAGAGAGGAATGGAGGAGGGTGAAGGAAGAGAACTGAGGAAATTTGTAATCATGGTTACAACAAATGCTAGGCAGGATCTATTGACTTCAAGTTGGTATTTGGTAATGCTCTCAGAGCATTACGCCTTCAGGTGAAATGTTGTCTAGGAATTAAAAAAGCTTCTTTGACTGTAAATTCGACCAAAAAGTCTTAGAAAAAGTATTTGGAAGTATCAGCTGTTTATGGCATCAGGGATTTTTATGCCAAAAAAAAAAAACAAAAAACTTTTTAACCTTTCAAATCACACTGCTTCTGTAGTTGGATTGTAAATGCTTTGGTATGTTCCAGGTAACTTGACTGCAATTTACCATGACTTCTGTATTTCACTTGATAAACTGTTTTTAGTTTCCCATATTGTATTGTAAATGTTGGCTTTCTTCTTACTGGGATTTATAGGCTAAACAGTGTGTGGCTGATGTATCTCTACAATATGTGTAGTTCAAAAGCAAATTCAGCAGTTGCACTGGAGCAGATGGATAGGAATACCTTCCAAAACTGTGCTGCCTGCTACTACTATCCCTAAAATACGCATTAGGACAGGACAAAGGGCATTTGATATTCTATTTTATGGGGCATTTTTTTTAAAGTTGATGAATGAATATAATTACATATGGGGAGAAAAAGTGTGTGTAAGAAATACCTGAACTGCAAACGTCTCTCATTGCCTTTAGACATCTTCTACAGTATATTACTAGTACTAGCTCACAGTTTTGTGCAGTAATTTCAACAGATATGGTGACACAGGCTTAAAGGAGAGGCATAGATGAAAACTCAGAATGATACAAGAAATGACTATGTAGACAATATAGATGAATTAGTGGATATGGATGAATAATGTGCAGTGGATTAGCTTGATCCACTAAACAGACCATCTGATTTCAGGCTGCAGTTGTCTGGGGGCTAGAGCTATAAAGTAATGAGTGCTTCTGAAAGACCCACATTTAAGTAAACATCTCGTTGGTTTAAAAGCCGTTGTCATTGATATACAAGAAGTGCTGCTTCTAATTTTTCTATTACATCCTTGCATTAAATTCTAGTTTCTTTCTTAATCAGACCTGCATTGAGTGAGAAGTATTAATCTCTTCTTTAGGCTCTTTTCTTTGCATTGTAGGTACCAAACAACTCTTGTGAAATTCAGATTATATTCTGCTATATTTTCTTTGATACAGTTTATGGTGAGAGCAGTCTGCGTTAAACTTCGCTCATTGGTTTGGGATCTTCTGTTGGCAGAGCCTGAAAAAATATTTTTTCTGAGCTAATGAAAGGCATTAGATAAAATGTTTGCCTGACACTGTATTTGTTAGAAAAGTAGAAAGGCGATGCTAAACATTACTTGAACTGAAAGGCCTGAGGAAATACGTTCCTTTATCTTCTGTTTCTTTTGTATAGATGACCACAAGGGAGACAAACGTGAAAATTAAATGTTACACACATTCTCCAATTAGAAAAAGGCTGCATGTCTTAGACTAAAAAAAGACTGTGCAAAGCCTTAAAACTTGTCGGGGGATCTAGAGTCTTTCTTGGAACTTTTTTGTTGTTGTCGTGAGTTTTAATTTGGGAATGTCCCACGTTTGGCGGCAGGAAGAAGAAAAGGTTGAAGGAATAGGGTTTTGGAGAGGCTACCAGAACACAGGTCAGATATAGCAGTGCAACCAGAAGGATCTTGCTTTATAGAACAACTGTTGTAACAAGTACAACTAGCTTTGACAGGAGAAGAATGAACAAAGATTGCATCAGTTCTTGTGACTGAATTGCTTACGCTGGAATGAAGGCCCCCAGATTCAATGTTAAGAGACTGAGCTAAAGAATCTTTCGTGCAGCTTAATATTTTTCTCCGTTTGCCAGTCGTGTGCCTTCATTTGTATACTGGGAAGTTTCTAATATCATTCTGTGCCATGTTCATATCATCAGCTTGACTATTTTTACTATTCAGGGAATTAGCAGAAAAGAGTAGCTAGTGCTGTGTTCAAAAAACTAAGGGTCCTTGAAAATGTTTGAAAACAAACAAAAAAAATTTTTGTTCGATTCTTTCATGTGCTTGCTTGCATTTGTGTTATTTATGCTATATGCACAGTTACACATAGGAATTTTTCTCATGCTGTTTTTAGTGACTGCACACTTAGCTTTTGCACACATCCCCAGAGGGATTTTCTGCTTTTAAAAATATTCAGTTCTACAAGTGATCCATTATGTGTGTGTTTGTATTAGATTTAGCTTTTCGAGATCTTTTCCTTTGTTAATACTCACTTGTCACTTGGTACCTTAATAATTCCAGGAATAAAAAAGAAAGGAGGGGTTTGAATTTTGAAGTGACATGGGCAGCTTTCTTTTTTTACAGCTTGCGTGCTTATTTAGCTGGGTTGCAAACCAGACAGGTAGAAAAGATGTCTCTTGTATTTAACTTCAAACTATGTGACATGGCTTCCAATACTTAATTCTCTCATACATTTACAGTCTAGGTTCAGAAAAACACTTCAAGCATGCATTGCGTTTCATCTCTATTCAACAGAGTATGCAAGCGCGTGCTTCGATTGACAGATGAATGTGTATCAGGCTGCTTCTTATGTGACTGAGAAATATGTAGACTTTTTTTTTTTTTTTTACTAGTTTGGTAATATTGTAGCCTTTTACTGCTTATACCATACAGTGCTGGAGAGAACTTATTTTTTAATGCTGCCTTACTCCTCTCTGTGTGGGGTGGTTGTTGTTTGTTTGTTTGTTTGTTTTTAGATAAACGTTATCACTGAGCGTGCTGGTATATATAATAGACATTGGCGTTTGCTGTGCGAGGTCAGCATATACCAGAGCCATCTGCCTAACAGGACAGGAAGTACCAACTTTAACAGTAACAGCATGAAAGAGAAGGGCAAAAGGAACATAGATTTTTTTTCTCCCTTTTGCATGGCAGAGAAGGTATCCTGTTCTCTGTAGTACTGGAGGGTTTAGGCCCTAGAGCTCTGATACTATTCATAAGGAGCTTGAGGCGCTCCTAAATCTGGTCAAACTAAGGTAGCAGAGATGCACTGATAAAGTAAAACAAGGAAAATGATTCCCTTGAACCTCATTGTAGACATCAAAGGAGTAGAAAGAGCTCTATCTTTTCCCTTGTTTTAGCCACCTTTAATAAACTGTATAGAGAATTAAGAGCACCCAGCATCATCCTGCTTAAAAGCTGCCTTTTTTTCCCCATCTGTAAGTCATCTGTGCTTGACTGAATCTGAATTCAAATATCTTGACAAGTTAAAATCAGGCCGTTAAGCCTAGAACGCTTATCGTGAATCTTATCTCAGATCTGAGCAGCAAGTTCTTAAAATAATTTTTGTTATTTCCACTCTTCCTAGGTTTGTGAAAGAAAAAAGGCCAACCATTTCTCCCAATTTCAACTTTCTGGGCCAGCTTTTGGACTTTGAGAAAAAGATTAAGAACCAGAGCGGTCAGCCTGGACATATTAGTAAGCTCAAACTTCTGCATTTGGAAAAAAGCAGTGAGCACGTGCTGGTCCCAGAAGGTGGGCAGAGCAGCCTCTCCACCAGTCAGCTCTGCATTACCTCTACCTCCGAGATTGTGGAGCAGAAGCCAATGGACTCCGGAAGTGTGCCAGGCACACGCTTGCCGTCTTTGGAAGATAGCCCGCTGGTACAGGGCATAAATGGACTCCACGTGTCTCTAGATAAGGTAGAAGACAGCAACCGGCTGAAGCGCTCCTTTTCTTTGGATATCAAATCTGTGTCCTACTCAGCAAGTAGCAACTGCCTGACTGCATCTGTTCAGGGCTTTGCCTCCTCTGAAGACACTCTGGAGTACTACAAACATGCGACCGCTTTAGATGGTGGCAGCAAGTTGTGTCAGTTCTCCCCTGTTCAGGAGGTCTCGGAGCAGACCCCAGAAACCAGCCCTGATAAGGAGGAAGCAAACCCTCCCAAGAAGCCCCAGAGCCCCTGGCAGCTGGATAGCCAGAGCAAGCGGCAACACCTGGGGAGAGCCAGCGGTAGCACCGCCACGCAGCGGTCGCTCTTGTACCCCCTCCACCGCAGCGGGAGCATGGAAGACAACTACCGAACAAACTTCCTGTTTGGTCTCTCCACTAGTCAGCAACATTTGGCAAAGTCTGCAGCTGGGCTGGGCCTCAAAGGCTGGCACTCGGACATCTTGGCTCCTCAAACATCTGCCACGTCCCTTACCAACAGCTGGTATTTTGCAGCCGAGTCCTCACACTTCTACTCTGCCTCTGCCATCTATGGGAACAGCGCGGCTTACTCTGCCTACAGCTGCAGTCAGCTGCCCACGGGCTGTGACCAAGCCTGTGCTGTGCGCAGGAGGCCAAAGCAGGGTGATCGAGGTGACTCCAGGCGGAGCTGGCATGAGGAAAGCTCTTTTGAAAAGCAGTTTAAGCGCAGAAGCTGCCAGATGGAGTTTGGGGAGAGCATCTTGTCAGACAACAGATCCAGAGAAGAACTGGGGAAAGTAGGCAGTCAGTCAAGCTTTTCAGGCAGCATGGAAATCATTGAAGTGTCTTGAAGCAGCAGACCTGGGTGACTGTACCAGAGTTGCTTCCCCCTCCAGGCCACTCCCCCAGTGTTTAAAAGTTCCCTGTAAATCTGAAAAGAGCAAACTTTATACAGAAGTGTGTGTATGGGCGGAGGGGGGGGAGATGTGGGGTTTCAGTGTGAACGGAGTGACTAGATTAATACAGCAAAGAAAGGACAAGTGAGCATCTGCATGAGGAGACCAAATGTACTGTTGGGTTTTTCTCCTCTCCTTTCCTGGAGAAGGGCAGAGCATTTCAAACGTTTTGCCTGGCAGAAGAAGCCATTATATGCAATGGATTGCACATCCTTTCAATGTTTCCAATGGGGAGCTGTCTTGGTACCAGACCATTTCTCTGGTTCCACTGAGACATGCTCCTACTGATCAAAACTAGTCTGATTCTCCCCTCCCCCTGCCCTATGTCTTCACCGGTGCACCTTAGCCCTGACACTGAGCCATCCTCTGGAGGGAGACCTTTTTTCTGTAAGAAGGGAGACTGGGAGTGAGTCCAAAGGAAGTAGGGACTGGTTACAGCAAGGCTGGTCTGAAAACAGAGTTCAGACAAATGTAAATATTGGTGTAACTATTGTTCTAATGGATAGGCTTTAGATGATTTGCTAGAGAGCTGCTTCAGAGAAAAACCAGTACCTCAAAAATATAAAAAATAAACTTAGGGCTTTATGGCTGCCAGTTGCTGGTAGTCAGTTCATAAGCAATGTGAACAAGTAACAACTAGCCACATCTGACTTTTTTTTTTTTTAAAGCTGTCTACGCACAAGTGTTTCAGTTGGCTTAGCAGCCATTTTTTAAAGAAGACAAATGAACCAGACTTACGACTATTTCCCCCAGTCTTTTTAAACATAAAGTAAGCAGGATTTATATTTTTGATATGGGGTTATTAAACTGGCTTCTGGGAGCGGGATAGCTATTTTGGCTTCTGAGCTGTAATGGAGTGGTTAATACTTAGGGCTATGTGCAAGAGAGAAGTGGCTGGTCAAAATACTGCAGAATCCTTTTTTTGGACAACTCAGTAGATGAGTTTTGAAGCTTTTTTTTTTTTTCCTTCTTCTTCTAAAAATGAATAGTAGGGTTTGGTGGGATGAGCAGTTGCATTAAGGAACTGCTCCTCATACACAGTTTCAGTTGCATGTCCTAAAAGACTGAGGTGGAGATGACTTGTTTTTTTTCCAGTATCCTCGCCCAAACTGTGGGGACTCTGAGACAGATGCTCCCTATCAGGTTTGCGGACTTCATCTGAGGAGGTCTGTTTTTGTTGGATAACTAAAGAGAAGGGGGACTGCAGAGCCCCTGCTCATAATATGTGAGAGAAACACAGGTTGCGAGGAGACAGCTTTAACAGCAAGCCTGCTCACTCTCCAGCACGTGCAGCTCCAAAGGGACTTCATTCAGGCTGTTGTCCTCTGTCCCTGGCTGGGGTCTCGGTGTCCCCGGGCGTCGATGCATGGTTTGGCTGCGGGAGCTGCGCTGCTGCTGGCCCACGCGCCTGTCCAATCTGCACCAACCCGGAGCATCTGCCAGCTCACGGAGGTGTCATTCCCTGCTGCCTGCAGGGGTGTTTCACGGGAGATTAGGCACAACCTTTACGCTGTGTTGTCTTCCACCTTGAACCAGCTGCTTCCCCTCCAGCTTGTGATTCTTGCGGTACGTTGGCTGCCGCTTCTCAAATTGCCGTGTATTACTGTAAGAGGCTTACAGTAAGCAAGTAACGGTACCAGAGGCACAAGTGGTCGTGTGCTCTTGAGCTCTGCCCCAGGACCCTTCCCAATGTGCAGGGGGGGGGGTATAGGCCCCAGCATTTTGTCCAATTTCAGTGCAGGCAGCTGAAAATTATAAATCAAATGTAACATATTTGCCCCGGGCCAACAGCTTTTAGAAAAAAAATTTGTCAGTGGAGGGCACTGAAGCCCTAATTCCAGTCAGCAGCTTTTTTTCTTCTTTTTTTCTTTTTCTTTTTTTCTTTTTTTACTCTAAATTTAGCTAGTTTGTGACTCAAATCTCAGGTTTTACTATATTGAAAAGTGGAGAGAATTTTTGTCGTCTTGTTTTGTGGCTAGGATGTGACTTAATTTCCTATGATGGACTGCTTAAGATAGCACTGAAAGCTACAGCATTGATTAACTTGATCCTAAAAAGTGCAAGAGGCACACAGAGAGGCAGCAACAGGAGTAATTGAACCCGGAGGCTGTGTTCGTGACGTGTGTATGAAATGCCGGAAGAAAGGGTAGTCTGGACAAGAGATAGGTTGACACCACGCTGTAAAGCATGTCAGGTCTTGGCTATTCATTAAACATACAGCCACTTGTCTATGTTTACATATCAAGTGAAAGTGATTACATTACAACTATTTTCAGCATATATACACACTCTGTGTGTGTGTGTGTGTGTATATATATATATATATACACACACACACATGTAAACTATTTAGCCGTGCTCCTCTCAGCCAGATTTCAGTTAAAGCCCATGTCTTTCTTTGATTTAAATTGGTTAATGGGGGAAAAACACATAAATAAATCCCTGCAGGCAAAAACAGAATCTTCCTGGGTTTTGTGCTCATTCATGTGTGTGTCCTTCCTCCTTCTCTCTCTTGTATTCTTTCTCTCTCTCTGTGTGTGTGTGTGTACACACACACACACGTACACACACACACACACACATGTTTGGGTTTTGTTTGTTTAATCTCTTTCTGGGGAACTGAATTCTGGTGTTTGGGCTCCTCGTGATTTCCAACATGCTGCAGTCATTGACTGAATCGAAGCTGGAGGCTCGGTATGCCAGGGGACAGGGCCGTACAGGAGGAAGCCTAAAGCCCAGATCCTGTGCAGGGTGGTACCCCATTTCATTTCTGAACTAGTGTCCTGTACCTGAACAATGCTGGAAATGGTTTCTAGATGTTTGGAAAGCAAAGTGGAAGATGGGAGGAGGAGAAAAGTGTACATGTTCAATATGAATATAATGTTCTTTGGTGTATGGCAGGCTGGTTAAATGGTTCAGAGAGATGTGAGTTTCTCATCTTGTTGTGTCCTGAGCATTACCTGTATGTTATGATGAAATAAAATCAGACGTGGTACCTGTTTATATAGAACAGCTGAGGAAAGGAGCCTGTTTGCTTCTGGCTGTGGAGTATGTTACTTCTCTGCAGTACAACCTGCTGCCCAGCCAGGACTAGCACCTGAAACAGTTTCAGCCTCTCACCTATTCCCACCTCCCCTGCCCCTTCTGCTCCCTTGAAGGGAAGTGGCGCTTTTTTTTTTTCTGCATTAACATTTTACAGTGTCTAGCAACTGTACTGCTTCACAAAGTAGCAGTCTAGTTCCCAGGTGCATAAACTGGCTGTAATACAGCTGTGCTATTCTTTCTGCTGCAAATATTTCAAGTTGTTTAACTTGCATACATTTTACCTCTGGTAAGTATGTCTTGCCTCCCATACTACTATTTTGAACAAGAGTTTAATTTCACTGATAATTGTTTTGACCGATGCTGCTTGTACTGGAACTCTCTGAGTGACTCCTAATGCTGAGGGAGGGATATGCCCATAGTTATTCCTTCAGAAAATAGCTTTTACAGATGTAATATATGTTTTAAAAAAAAAAAAAAAATCCTGAGGTTAGATCTTCGGGTGGCAAAGCTTAAACCTACAAGTTAGTGTAATGGCATCTTCTAACTCAGATGCAGCAATAGAAGCCCTATTTTAAGGGAATTTTAAAGCATTAACCCAGAATGGGAAATGTATAACCTCCAGCTGCTGTAAAAGAGGCAGTACTGTCTGCTACCGCACAAGTAACAAGTTTCCGTTCTGCAAACAAGAAGTGCTAGCTATAAAATAAAAAGCTTGTATCCATTGCACAGTAGAACAAGACCTAAGTACAATATCGGACCCTAAGTAAGTGGTGCATTAACACCTTTCTGACTTCTCTCACCCTACACCTAAGTCCAGTTCTCAGTAGGTCAGACCAGCTCTTGTATGAACTCCTTGTTCCCTTTAAGGGCTGTTGTGGTGGTGTTTTTTTTTTAGCACCTACGGCCATCCTAGGCTTAGCTTTTACTGCTTCCCCTTACCAGCTTTGCAGGACTTGCGCTGCTCCTCTTTCCACAGTCCCCTCTGTGGTCTCTTGCCACTGCCAGGAGACAGCTCTGTAAAGACACTGTCCAAATTATCTCCAGTCAAAACCTGGAGGGTGATGAGCAGCAACTGAAGTTTGTCACATACTGTTCACCAGCATTTAATTTTCATTTCATTGACTGGCAGTAGTAAGACAGGGGCCTCAGGTGACCATGTGCTTGATACAGCCATCTCAATTAAGTGCCTAAAGTGGTGGCCTGAGAAGAGGGCAGAGCTCCCTGCAGCATGCAGCAGGGGGAGGGGAGTGTGTGGAAGAGTAGAAATGAGTAGAAATGTGGTAATTTATGAGCTGTTATTTTTACTAACTAGACACAGACACAGCTGCTAGCTACTCCTTCTACTTCCACTCATGGCACAGTAGTTACACTGATGGTTACCAGCAAGTGGTGCTTTCAAAAGCCCAGCGCAGGGGGCCTGGGACTCCTCATGAGCCGAATCCTAATAAGGCAGTTACGGCCTGGGTACGAAAATACTGAAATTCAGCAAAGCTTACTTACCTAGATATTTTAATGAGTGGGTCATACCCTGACTAAAACCAAGTTATCCTGTATTTGTTCTTCAAGCAAAATTCCTTTTGAGCTATAAGTGGAGTTACTGAAGTATTATTATACTACTATAGTTATCTACAAGTACTGTTAAATGTACAGAAACACAGTTGGGAATTCTGCTAGAAGAACAGTGTTTGTTATATATCAACTTAGACTGACAACTGAGCTCTCCCTTTGAGCCAAGCCTTTAGAGAACTACTTGGCCCTCAGGCCCAAATTGTTGCTCTAAAGTCTAAAGTTGCAGCTAAGTCTTTGGTTATGCTGCGCTTTGAGAATATTAATGAGCGTCACTATAAATAGAAAAGGAAAGGGAGATATTTCTAGCTTTCTGCAGTACCACCTTGTCTGAGAAAGCACTGCTTCTCTAGCATATAAAATGCTGAAAAACAGGATTTGAGAGCGCTGTCCTGCTTGAAAGACATGCTCACTTTGAATTGCAGATTTCAGCTGCTGTTTACAAGGACCTGCACAAATCCAGTGCTGATCAAATCCAGTGTGATGTTCCCATGTGTGGGAACCATGAGGCTGGGCCATCAGCTCACTTTAAAAAATGAATCTTGCACATTTGCATCTCTTGTCAAGAAGCCCAGGTGCAATGGGTGGAAGTGTCTTTCACCTCTTTGCTTTCCTGATGCCAAGAGAACAGCAGCCTGCTGCAGGTAGGGTGGTCGTTTATTTTTCTTTAAGCCAGGGTTTTTTCTAAATTTATTAGAATTACCTGTTACCTGCAGGAGTAATAGCTCCTACTACTCTCTAGGATTTTTTTCAAAGCCAGGCTGCTGGCCATCAAGTAGCAATCAATCAGCTCTACTTACAGCAGTTGACCCCCCCGCTTGCATTTTTTTTCCTTCTTTTTTGGAAGAAAAGAAAAACATTGCTATTGTCTTGCTAAAAGCTGGATGCTAAGCCTTTACCAAACTCTGTGACTCTGTTGGACCTCCAGCTCAAGAGTATATAAAAATTAGAAGAACAGAATCAAATACTTATTTAAATGCTACATTGGGAACCCTCCCACCCCTTCCCTCCCTAGTAACCAGAGGGAAGAGTACAGCATGAATCATATACTTTTTTTATTAGTAAAACCAAAACAAATGACAATAAATATTTCAAGTCAGGTCTCCCTAAGCCAGGAGGGAGGAGCCTCAGCAGGTCTTAGCATTACACAGCAGGCTGGCTCTGAGGCCACTTTGTCCAGGAGGGAGTACGCAATGTTCACAAGGTGCTTTGCAAGCTACAGGGCAGCTAATGCCTGTCCACAATCAGCTCCCCAAAATGGGGGCATCAAAGCCATTTTGCTAGGATACAGTTTCAAATTTGATAGCGAGGTACTGATAACTGAGAGCTAGAATCCTCTCAAACCCATGTTGACATGAGTAGCCGTTCACAGGCCCAAATAAGGAAGAGCCATGTTTCCACAGGAGCTATAACCATCCTCAGCTATTTCTATGGTCTTGTTACTCTCCTACAGTAGGACATAGGCTCATCATATTCTTTCTTTACCTTTACAGCTCCCCAAGAGGTCAGTGTTCATTCTCCTTCTGTTAAAATACAAAGATTTTTAAAAGGACAAAAGGGCTATTGGTTTTCCTTAATTTTAGGCACCTGGCACTAAGAGTTGCCCTTTTCGTGCTCCTCCCTCTCTTGTGCCATAGGAGGTTTAGGCCTAACTAAGGTACCCAGCTGTAGGTGCTCTGAGCACACCATTAACACCTTAGACCTTTCCTTGGGTTTGGGGATTTGCAATAACTCTCACTTTTAGGTGAATTATTTTCTGCATTTACCTAGTAATAAACAGGCTGTCCAGTACAAGCTTATGGAGTAGTTAAAGTCAGACAGTCCTCCTAACTGTCCAACTGTGCTGGCTGAAAGCCAGCTAGCAAGAAGCAGAGAAGTACCACAGGCCAGCTGAGAAGAGGGTGAAGTTTGGCCAAAAGGACAAACCGCCCCATCCAGCGATCTGTGGAAGATCAGGAGGAGCAGACAAGCAGCCAGCAGGGCAGGGGACAGGCGAGACACCAGCAGCAGCTGAAGCAACACCTCGACTGCCAAGCTGCTTGGCGATGCCCAGCTCCAGTTCTTACTGCTACCTGGCTAATAATTTTCATCATCACAAGAAGAACTCATATAAAGTACCTGTTTGGACATAGTCCCCTTTTGAGAGGGAGATAAGAGAGAGGGAGACAAAGAAATGAGAAATACTTAAAGGCAGTATTAGAAATTATATATAACTAGAAACAACCTTTTCCCAGCTCCTTTGTCCTTCAGCAAGGTTGGGTTTAGTTTTTTTTGTTTCATTTTTATTTGTTTTACTGGAAAAGACAAACTAGCTAAGCAACACTGCGCTAATCCCGGAAGTTATTTACAAATGCTTCATCGGCTTTTAACAGCATGGCGGAGCGGAGCCCATCACCTCCTTGGGTGGCTTAAACAGCTCAACTAGCAGCAGTGTCCAATTAACACAGCCCCTGCTTTAACACATGATTGCACATCCTCACGTTCTCCCTCCCACTACAGCAGTTCAAG